CCCTCTCGCTTTCTTTAGTGAAGATGTTGCCTGTTAAACCGTATTGCTTTATAAAGCTTTCAAACTTGTCTCTGCTGAGAGCCTTGGTGAGAGCATCCGCCAGCTGTTTGCTACTTTCCACAAACTGAACATCAATTTCACCTATTGTTTGCATATCACATGAATAAAAATATTGTATATCTACATGCTTAGTACGTTTAGATGATTTAGGAGTTTTCACTAACTCAATTGCCTTTTGATTATCGCACTTTAAAGGCGTAGCACCTATTTGCTCACAGTTAATTGCTTTCGCTAATTTTCGGAGCCATACAACTGCTTTCGTTGCTGCACATATAGCAATAAACTCTGCTTCAGTGGTAGACGTTGCAGTCACGCTTTGTCTTCGTGAGCTCCAGGCAACAGGACCATCGTTAATGAAAGCTATCCAACCAGAAATTTTCCGACGAGTGTCAACATCATTCCCCCAATCCGCATCGCAATACGTGACAAGTGCAGTATTACTGGAGTTTATTAAAAAAGATATGCCGTGATTTAAAGTGCCTTTGAGGTATTTAAAAAACGTTTCACTCCCTGCCAATGAGCTTCAGACGGATTTTCAACATATCGACTCAATAAACCAACTACGTATGCTATGTCCGATCGTGTGCACACCATCAGATACATCACTGAACCAATGGCCTCTCGATACTTCACAGGTGTTGAAACTGCAAAACAATTAGAATGATTAAAACGCTCCAAAAGTTTTGAACAATACATATTTTGAAAAATGAAAAGTTTTTGCTCTTTTATGTCGAACTTCATTTGCATTCCAACAAAATACTCAGCCATTTTGTGAGTAATCTCAAACTCAGAGTGAAGTTTTTCTAAGAGGCTTTCAATTAGACAACGATGGTTAGCGCATATAAGTCCATCGTCTACATACAATGCAAGGTACATAGTGTTGATACGTAAATACACCCGCATCAGCCGAAGCTTGCTCAAATCCGAAGTTCAGCAAAAAATCTACTATGCGTTTATTCCACTGTCTGGAAGCTTGCTTTAAACCATACAAGCTCTTTTGCAGTTTACACACTTTGTCATTTTGTCGATATCCATATGGCTGCTCCATATAGATGTTTTCTTGTATGTGGCCATGTAGGAAACCTGTCTTAACGTCAAATTGAATAATTTGCATGTTTTTCGCCGCTGCAATAGATAGTACTGTTCTTACCGACTCATATCGAACTGGCGAAAACACTTCCGTGTAATCTACCCAGCGAATTTGTGAACAGCCTCTAACAACTAGCCTAGCTTTATATTTTTCTATTTAGCCCCTCGAGTCATATTTCCATTTAAAAATCCATCGGTTAGTCAACACATGCATATCGTCAGTGCGTTCGACGAGTGTCCAAGTTTCATTTTTCTGCAGAGCATTTAATTCGTCATTAACTGCTGCTGCCCATTTCACACTGTCTTCGCTCTCTAGTGCCTCTTCTAAACTCGAAGGTTCGAACTGCACTGTGTGAACTTCAGCATCGATTTGTTGCTCACCAGCACTCTCCTTTTGCTTACTTGCACTCCTCGTTTCGTACGCCTCTCTGTAATTTTCGTATTTCTTTTTCAGTTTCCTCGTACAATCATTCGCTGATGCAGATTGCATTTCTTCGTCATTGCTTACTACTGCTTTATCGTCAACCCCACTTTGCATTGGTTCACTGTACTCATTGTACTCGTCAAATTGAACATCTCTGCGAATAAAAACTCTTCTGGCGCGCGAATCAAACACCCTATAAGCCTTGCTTTGGTCATTATATCCAACCATTACATATTTGATTGCGTTTTTCTCCCATTTTGTGCGCTGCTCTTTAGCTACGAAAACGTATGCATCAGAGCCGAATATTCGTAAATACTTGACCGATGGTCTCTTACCGAACCATTTTTCATAAGGAGTGATTCCATCCAAAACTTCAGTCGCTGTTTGATTTCTTAAGTACACTGCAGTGTTTGTCGCTTCTGCCCATAAATACAGAGGCAGCTCCCTCTCATGCAGCATGGCTTTCGCGCATTCAACCACTGTCCGATTTTGCCGTGGTATGAACCCATTCTGTTCTGGTGCTCTAGGATTACTTACTTCATGCTTGATACTATGTTGCAATAGAAATTTGCGCACATCATCATTGCAAAACTCTAATCCTCCGTCTGAGCGTAATCTTTTTATTTTATGACCATCGGCTTGCACTTCAGCCACGAAGTGCATCAGTTTTTCTTGCACTTCAGTTTTACTTTTAATAAAATAAACAAAGCAATATCTGGAGTGGTCATCCTTTAAAAGCATAAAATAGTTTGCGCCCCCAATGGATGGGGTGCTCATTTTTCCACACAGGTCCACATGGAAGGTCTCCCCAGGTAATTTTGCCCTATTTGCGCCAGTCTTCGGAAATGATTGACGATGTTGTTTGCCATTTGTGCAACCTTTACAAAATGGCATTTCGCCTGAGGTATCTGCAATTTTTAAGTCTGAAACGATGCTTTTGTTACTCCTTTCTTGAAGTGTTTTAAAATTTACATGTCCCAAACGTTCGTGCCAAAGTTTGATTGGCTCAGAACAAAGTACATTAACACTTGCGTAGTTAGCTGCTATTGGCCTCAAATTTAATTTATATAATCCACTTTCTTCATTACCCTCGACAACTGCTTTATTTTGCTTCATGAAGAGCACTCGCCCTGTGCCTTTCTCAAACTTGACGTCCATCGATTTCGTCGCTTTAGATATTGATATAAAATTTTTGTCCAAATCAGGAACCAGTAAAACGTCCCTTATTGTGTATGCAGTTTGGAATCCAACAGAAACTCTTACTTTTATGTCTCCTTTTCCAACAACTTTCAGTTTGCGGCCATCTCTAACTCGTAAGTGGAATACTGCATCCGGTAACTCAGAATAGTTAAAGAATAGCTCCCTCTGAAAAGACACGTGATCCGTAGCTCCAGAATCGGCGTAGAATACATTTAGGTTTTTGCTTTGCGATTCAGTCGATTTGTGCAAAATAAACAACTGTGAATTATCAGCATCAGCTGATTTCGGCCTTTTGACGTTTGGCTCCTTTCGTAGAACAAATGAATGTCCATTGGCTTCACGCTTGACTTGTTCGTCTGTTTGCTTTTTACGACATTATCTGGCCCAATGACCATCTTTTTGACAGTAGTTGCATTTCCCTTTACGCTTTGTGATGGTATTGTTGCCTTTGATTGATTTTGCCACGTAGACTGATTTGTACACACCACTTTGCGTGTCACCTACGCGTAAATTGATTAGCGCCTCCTCATTAAATAAATGCTCAGTCAATTTTTCAACCTTTTGTGCGTCTTTTGGAACGGCATACCAGGCAGTGCGAACATGATCATATTTCGCTGGAAGACTACTTAAAATTTTTGCTATTATCATCGGCTCTTCCTGCTCAAGATTCCTGTCTCTTAAACGTTGTGCAAGCGACGTTACTGTTGCGATGTAGTCGATCATGGTCTCCTCTTCTCCCATCTTGCAGTTAATAAACTTTTCCAACAGTACTTGGGCTGATTGATCGCTTTTTTCAGAGTGGACAGCTTGAAGTCTGGACCACATTTGCGCTGCCGTTCCACAGTCAGTCAAATACTTCAATTGGTCTAACTCGATTCCCCTCATTAAAAATGCCTGAGACTCAGCATCTTTCTCATCCCATACCAACGCGTTTGACGTAGTTCTGGTTTCAGTGCCCAATATGTATTTCTTTAGTTTGTTTTCCGCCATATAAATTTCCATTTGGCGACGCCACAGCTCGTAGTTTTGTCCATTGAAGCGGTGAATCTGATACGTCTTGGATTCTGACATGCTTACCTTTGCTTCAGACTCAGCAATATTTAATGTTGAATCAAGTTCTATAATTTCAATAGATTCACAAAACTCCGCGGTTTCGTCCACAATTGCTGAATCAGTGCTCAACGTATTCTGCGCTATTGAGGGAAATTTCTCCATACGCGATGTCAAAAGTGTACAATGTTTTGGCCGTGGCAAACTGGGTCCATAACCTTTTCCGATTGTTGAGTGAATAAAACGCGGATCTTGAAATTCAATTTTGATATCTATTGAATTAACAATAGTATAAGTAGAATAACTTTGTGGTCGCTAAATCTTAGAGCCGGAAGTTCAAACCCGAGCCAAAAAGGAACAGAAGGAAGGACAGACGAGAAAAAGGAAATTCTGAATAAAATGTACAGAGAAAATTTAGTAAAGTATAACAGGGCTGCCATATCAATTTATACGTATGCAGAACTTAATAAAGCGATTTCTTCAACATATAGTATATATTTTACCAAAAATTTACTTACAAAATCACAGTTGTTGGAAATTATCGCTCAAATTTTCCAATTAATTTGAAACAAAAGGTCAAAGCAAAAGCGAAACAAAGAAACAGTGATACCTGCGCAAATTTTTTCACAAAATTTTCTGCTCCATTTTTTGTTCCATTTTGCCCAGAAATGAAATTGGAATAAATAGAGTGGGCATTACTGTAACGCTGGTATGCCAAAAAAGCCAAAATTACAACAACCACCCCCTAAGTGACAACACCTTATTATTATTTCACCATGGACCTTCACCAATAATACCTTCTCTTATAATATGCTATACACTTAGTTAGATCTGTATGGCTTTTAGAAAAGGTGGCAAGCTTAAGCAAAGATAGTTTCAAACTAAAGATTTTATAAATCTCTTTCGATATGTACTTGTGATCAGTACGAAGGACTATTGTCTCCCACTTCAGTTTTCGCTATCATTACTTATGTAATCTGTGAAATGCAGAACGAAAGCGCTTTATCAGCATTTTATAATCATTAGACGGATGAAGAATCCGATTTCACCAGCAATTCTCTCCGTTTCCGGACACTTTTACAGATATTAATAATTCGGAATTGATTAATCTAATACTTACGAGTATCGTGTGTTATAATTACAAGTCTATTCTGCGATGGTAATAAAAAAATTTTGTAACCCATAACTGAAGTTCTCGTGTCAGTTTTGTTGATAAAATTTGAAAATGTTTCGCTTACAGTCGAAATATTGATTATGATATACAAATGCATATCTAGGGTTAGAAGAATTACAGAGATTACTATATTAATTGCCTTCAGTAGCAATGTCCATTATGCTTTGTCTAAAGTAAGGTCCTTCGTTGACATAAGTTCGTAATTGAAGTTTAATTTGGATATCGAAAACATCGCTATTTGCCAATAGACTAATTAATTCGAACTTCTTGTACTTCGCCTCCTTATCAAACTCAATTTTCCGATCCAGTAAATACTCAACAAATCCGGCTGTGCCTTTGAGCGCTACAATGCCCCATCTATGGAGACAAACAGATTTGATAAAGCTTAGACACGCAACTTTGATATCTGGAAACGGATTGCGGCAGAAATCCATCAAAAACTGCATGTTTTCGGCGCCGGATAAATAACTGAACCATTTCCGCAGCATTTCTCTGGAATAAAAATAGGAAAATAAAAAAGATTCGCAATTAAAATATGATTGAATTACTCTATTTCTTTGTCATTTACTCCATCTGTCGAAAAAACTATTTCTAACGTGCTGAATGCCCGATTTTTTAAATCTGTTGAGAGATTCTTTAAATATGAAGTGATTTCTTCAAGTATTTCTTTTATTAGCGCTGGATATATTTGGTCCAAAAGCAATTTTCCCTTCTTTGATTGTGTAAGATTCGCTGAAAACAAATTTTCAAGTGTCCCTAATTTAAAACGTTCGGTTATTTAACAAAAAAGTTCTTCAAAAGTGTATTTCCGCAAAACTCTGCAATGGTCAGAAAACGCAAATGGAAAACCACTTCTATCAATTAACTTTTGCAGTGATGGGCACACCTAAATACCTTTGTACTTAAAGTACCACAAATAACACTGGACCACAAATTTCAACTTTTTCTCTTTACCAGAAACGCCGTTATGAAATTCTTATGTAAAATCACCCCCTGATTCCGAAAATCAAGGTTATTTTTAATTCTATGGTACCGTTTTTGAGATATTTGCAATTTACCGTTTTTGCAAAAAAAAAAAATTGGGTCCACTTCATCATATATATATACGAATTAAGCAATTCCAAAACGGTTTGAAGCTTTTAAAAGGTAATAAAATTTTCTATAAACTGTGCATACAACACTTTTTGCTAGGCCCTGTAGATTCAAAGATAACGAACAATCATTACCG